TTTTCCTTGTTGTCACCCCCTCCCCCCAAAATGGTGTCACCCGGTGCGGTCCACTTCCTCTGGTCTGTGGTTATTTAGTACACTATTAACCAGTAATGGAAATAATTAGTTTAAATCAAAATAAATGTTATTTAGTTAAGGATGTATACAATATTTTAACAGATGAGTCTTTTTAAATTTAGCGCCATAATTTACTATAACTAAACTGATTATCGTATAAATCAAGCAATAAATACACTTGATTTAATTTTCTGTGTATTTTTAGCGCAATTTCCATTCTGGAGAATTGCGTTTATTAACTCGTCTTTTCTGGGAATGGATGAATGGATGGATGGATGGATGTGTGTCCGCAGCTTTAAGTCGTATCACCTCCTCAATGAAGCAATATCGAGGACTAGTTTCAAAGCAAATATGTTAAGCAAGTTACCAGGATGAACATAGGCCAAAAAAATTCCGGGTTTCTTTCATGGATTTCCCGAAAAAGCCAAAAAAAACTCGAAAAAATGCAGTTTTTGGTCCATATCTCGGCAACCAGACCACTTAGCGACTTGAAACATGTACCAATCGATTTCTGCCATAATTTAGAACAATATTGCCGAAGAAAGTTTTCAAAAATATCCTTTCGTTCGGTCACAAAATTTTGTTTGAATTAATTAAAATTTGGACCGAATTAGTAGGCATTTTATCCAACCACACCACACGCGTCATCACGTTCAATAGCTGCGCCATCACGTTCAATGGCTGCGACATCACGTTCGGTAGCTAGGCGCGCAATGGTTTTTAGTCATGTTACTCTATTGTAAATAAAACATGTAAAATACTGAAAAAAAAATTAATAAAAAACGTTTTAATAACTAACCAATGGTTTTACTAACCCTGCTCTTGATTTACGCTACGACAGAGCTAAAATTGTCACTAGACTTTTTAATTACTTGTTTTTCTACAGCATAATATCATTATACTCTTTGAATACGAATTAGTTTCAATCTTCGCCCAGACTCCGGCAATTGTTATTGAAATATGTTCCATAACACATCCCTCTGCTAAATCTCTATCACATGTTCAGGTTTACCTAACACATGCTTACCATTAAAACATAGCAATGTATAAATATTTTTGACTCATTTTTGCTGGTTGGCCAAAACGGATTCTTAAGAATCTTAGATCCATCCGTTTTTGTCAACCTTTCTGTAGTTTTCCTGGCACAGTGTAATTTGAAATAATATAAGTGTTGCTTTATATTTCAGGGTAAGAACATCCCAACTTGGCTGGATGTTGATGAAATTAAAGTTTTCATTGATGGTACCAGATGTAACGTCATTGTCGTTAGTGCCGGTTTTATCCAATGTAACATCTCTGATTTTATGGAAAAAATTAAAAATTGCAATACCATTATTGCTAGTCTAAGCAAACCAGATAATACTTCGGTCCCACTAACACATGCATTTGAGAGTACTACTGCTGCACGACATGAAAGAAGTTTGGAATTTTCATACACCTTTTGCCAGGACTTGTACCACAACATATCCAACAGCACCAGCAGTGTCACCTATTCTGTGTCGGTACAAGTCGGTAATTTCCGTCAACCCGTCGGAAAAATCAAATTTAACCACCAGGCTGAGGGGATCTTTAGTAGCCCATCCCTGGTCATGGAAGTGGCATTGAGCGGGACCTTTATCTTCACCGTCATCGTGCTGGTCATCGTCATCTAGCTGAGGGTCAGGCGGTCCAGAAAAAAGACAATGGAAGAAGCACAAGGGAAATCACTCTTAGGTAACCAGATGCATATTTTAAATAAATCATTGTGTAAGCTTATAAACAATCTAATGTTTACTACCAACACATTTTGCACTATAAATATAAAATTAGTAATAATTTAAAGTCTTAATTTTTTTAAAAGCTCTTATATGATACAAGACTACCCATTATCCTTGGATAACTGTGGTTTTCTGAAGTCATCTATAAAAGACGTCACGTTTATTTTAAGCTTTGTATCTTTCACCTCCCAACTGTCACACATCGTCACAAAATGTCACACACAACATTTAAAAGACGACACAACTCAGACAACATGTTTTTGTCTTTTAAAAACACCGATTTCGTCTGAGTACGGGTCTGAGCACACTATCACTTCATAAGCTGAAGTCACAAAAACAGGTGAATTCTCCTCCACCTACCCCGTGTCCAGCAAAGTCCCGAAAGGTAACTTTATCATTCTAAAAAACAGTCACACTCAGCTTACATAATTCTGTCTTTTAAAATATCTATTTCTTTCTACAATATTTTCTGAGCTTGAAACTCTTATGAATAATACATAAATAAAATAGTAAAATAACGTCTAGCTAATAATAATGAATCAGAACCAATCGCGTGCGTTGTGATTTCCAAGTGAGGGAAAATTTTAAAAAATATATCAGTGACATAATGGGTTTCGAACCCGTACCACCCACACCACTCGAATGGTAACTATTACACTATCATCTCGGCTAGTTGGGTGTAAATATACTGGGTAATTTTACTTAGACCCAGAAAAAAAGTTAAATTACACGAATACTATTTTAAATTAAATTATATCCTGAATTAGCCAATTCGATTGCTAAACAAACAAAGATTTATATAAAATAATTAAAGCCTGAAATCCTTTAGTAAAGAAACTTATTATGGGCTTACATTTTAGATTCTAGATCTAGAATCTAGATAGAGCTAGATTTAGAATCTACGAACAGACGAAAATTGGCTTACGTCTAGTTTATCCGTAGCTCTAGATAAATTGCTTGTATTCTCGAATTACATGATCTGTGAAACTAAAACTAAAAAGCAAAGATTTCTATCAAATATTTAACCCTTAAATGCATGATTTTTTAAAAATGCTTGAAAAATGTTATTTATATGTTTTTAGGGGTATATGCAGAATATAGTCAAGTAAACAAATAATTTAAGTCTAAACATGTGCTTTAATTAAAAAAAAAACTAATAGTTGCATGTCTGCAACATTATGTAGTAAGGTGATACTTTTTAAGACAGTTGTTGATCTTGTTACAACAAAGATATATGTTGCACTTGTGGCAAACTGTTTGAGCTTGAGCTTGATGTGAATTTGCACCTTTCATTGCAATTTTCCTCGAGACTTAGTGTCCACACTGGTCCAGGAGATCCATGGTCCACACTGGTCCAGGAGATCCAGGGTCCACACTGGTCTTGGAGATCCAGGGTCCACACTGGTCCAGCATATAAAGGGTCCACACTGGTCCAGGAGATCCAGGGTCCACACTGGTCTTGGAGATCCAGGGTCCACACTGGTCCAGGATTATGAATTGATTAAAAAAAACGCAAACGGTAGTAATACTAACATTAAGTAGTAAGAAAAATATTTAAAAAATCCCAATACATCCGATTTAGCTGAACTTCGAAACACCAATGAAAAATGCTAAGATAAAAAACGTTGTGAGCATGCACGAATTTGAGATTGGCTTGGCGATAGTAAAAATCTAGGTCACTTAGACATACGCAGGCAGTAGGTTAACATTGTTCCAGTTAAACAACACGATGCACAGAATCAAATATGTTAATCTATGTTGGAAGTTATTGGTACAAAGGGACGTAAGTGTATACTTTTTTTAAAAAAAATTGGAATTTTTGTAAAGGATAAATAATTTTGTTTAATTTTGTTCTTTGCAAATTACGTCAATCAAAATGATACGTTGTAAAATGAAATTTGAGTTTGAAAATGATTAATATTGAGTTTTTAATTATCAATTTAGGTTTCAGTACAAAAATGAAAACAAAAGATATTACACAATAGCAATCAAGCCCATATACTTACTATATACATGTTATTCACAAACATATCCGTCCGCCACATACGGAAGCGAAAATAAGGTCTTAAGTAGTGATCAAATAAATAATAATTAATCAAGGATGAAGCTCAAAAGGGCTTTTAAATAAAAAAAAAAACTAATTTATAATTATAGCAGCATTTTAAATTATGAAAATAACTAATTTTTTATATACTCAGTCCCGTTTTTAATTTTAGAAAGCTAAAAAATGAAACGAAGATGGCTGAAATAAGGTCGTCTATAGGTATTTTAAAAATATTTAAATTTAAAAAAACAATTAGAATTTTCACCGAATTAAGCAAAATGCAAGTAAACTTTTTCAGTGTTATGATACACACGTATGGAGGAAATGAACCCGATACGTTCAGGCGTTTGAATTTCTATAGCTGATATAGTCAGCACGCTGGTCGGAACAACTTTTGCCTTTTTATATAATAGATTTATCTGAACTCGCGAAAATACATGTACAAACTTAAAAATAATTGTGAGTTTTAGAATTGATGATAAAAAATAAAATGTTATTCAATGTTTGCGTGATTTTCATTTTTATTTGTCTCATGAGAATAAAATGGATTCTTTCTGCAAGCCTTCACCGACCCCCCTCTTTTTTACCACCATCCATTTTTTTCTTATCGTCCCTCTCACAATTTGAAACTAAGCTAACCCCTCCCACACACACAGGCGATATCGCCTAGTCTAGAAACATCTGATATAAACGGATAAAATAATATAACAAATAAACAACAAAAACTTCATTACAAAACATTAACTTTGTCGGGGATCGTAAGGTTTGGCTGTATCACACGTATTTTTGAAATACTTTACACTTATAGCTTTGGATTATTCACTCGTCTCGTAGATTAACTTCGTTATGGTCACATTAATCACTCGGGAAGTATACCCCAGCACTTACTTGAATTCGTTTCAAGTGGCCAATTGTCTTTTTTTTATGGTTTCTTTGTTCGACATTAGCTATCATAGCGTCCCAGATGAGGAATATAGAAAAATATTATATAGAGTCACATGTTGTCTTCACCAACAAGTCAGTGCATCAAATTTACTTATGTATTGTATACAGTTTTCATTGTGGCAGAATGAAATAATTTTGTGACAACCATCCGTAAATTTCAAATTTATTTTTTATCAGACGTCACAATGATACCGATGTCAAATATGATTCCTGAGATAGAGAAAAAGGCAGACCTAGACAAAATTATCATCCAGTTTAACCGGCTGGCAGTGGGGAAGTTGATTGGGGAAGGTAGGTATCTGCCTTTCAATTAAACTTTCTTCTTCTTCGTTCTTAATTTTTAGTGTTGGGAGGGATCGAGCCTTATCTGGGTTTGAACTCGAGACTTTTTCGAATGTATCAACCATGAGCTTTGCCGACTCGACCCTGCTTCCATCGCAACTAAGGATTACGTGTCAACTGGTTATGCACCATTGAGGCCATTGACTCCGATTTCAGCCTGCTTTTCTTGTTGGATTTGCTTCCATAGCCTTTGTCCAACCAAGAACAAACTACAAGGCAGCAGATGTTTTATTTTTGGAGTTGTCTCTCCTAGAAGAGTGGCTGCCCCCAGCAACCATGAGCTTTACCGACTCGACCACGCCGACCCCCCTTAGGGTTTTTAGCGCAATTTCCATTCTGGAGAATTGCGTTTATTAACCCGTCATTTCTGGATGTATGAATGTATGAATAGATGGATGGATGGATGTGTGTCCGCAGCTTTAAGTCGTATCTCCTCCTCAACGAAGCAATATCAATGACTAGTTCCAAAAGCAATTATGTTAAGCAAATTACGAGGATGAACATAGGCTATAAAAATTCCGGGTTTCTTTCATCGATTTCCCGGAAAAGCCAAAAAACCTCGAAAAAAATGCAGTTTTTTCGCCCATATCTCGGCAACTAGACCACTTAGCGACTTGAAACATGTACCAATCGATTCCTGTCATAATTTAGAACAATATTGCCGAAGAAAGTTTTCAAAAATATCCTTTCGTTCGGTCACAAATTTTTTTAAATTAATTAAAATTTGGACCGAATTAGTAGGCATTTTTTCCAACCACACCACACTCGTCATCACGTTCAATAGCTGCACCATCACGTTCAATGGCTGCGTCATCACGTTCAGTAGCTAGACGCGCAATGGATTTTAGTCATGTAACTCTATTGTAAATAAAACATGTATTTTAACCAATGGTTTTACTAACCCTGCTCTTGATTTACGCTACGACAGAGCTATTTTTAGATAACATAAGGAAATTGCGCTAAAATTGTCACTAGACTTTTTAATTACCTTGTTTAATGTGGGAATTAAAATTTTCATGCATTCGGCACAGCTTTAAGTTAATTAACATAACATCATTTCCCTTTTTGAATTATACGATTTTAAAATATTTTTAAATTGGATTTTTTAATGCATACACTTATTCTTCAGTTTTTCAAGCTTAAGGTTAAATAATTAAACGTTCCTTTTAAAAGGAGTAGCGTAGAAATAAATCGGGTTGGGGTGGGCACCAAAGTTAGCAGAGAAAAATTTAAAAACATTTTAAACTACTATATTTTTATTATAGACTACCAAAGTTAAAAAATTAACACTACAAAATACAAGACTTTATAGCGTGATTTTACTGTTATCTACATTGATTATTTAAAATACTTACGAAAAAAAGGCCAACCCCGTCATTCATGTGTACCCCTTGTGGAGCATAGGGACGCAACTACACCTCACCATCTTACTCGGTTTGGGGCACTTTCTTTAAAAGCTGCCCCATGATTTTTGAGTTGCTTCTGCTTCATTGACAACTGACCTTCTCAAAGTTTGTTTTGGCCTACCTACTCGGGGGTTCCAGCCTTGAGCTTATCTAGTGATTTTGCTAGTTCGATGAAGGCGTGTCCAATCTATCCCTTTTAGCGCTTTTTAAAAATTTCTTTGCCAATAGGGTCTTGTCCAGTTTTATCAATTAAGAGTCGTGACCGGTAAAAGCCCAAAATGGGGGGGGGGGGGGGGGGGGAAAGTAAGTCGAAAGTATTTACACCGAAATGGTGAGTAGATAAATCATTTAACAATTATAAAAAGAAACCGATTATTTTTGTATTAATATATTATTATGTACGCAATGTAACGGTAAAACTTATACCATAAAGAATCAGTGACCGATAAAAACCGCTCCACAATTTTTCAATGAAGGGTGGGACATTTTTTTTCCTAATATAAATATTAGTATAAACACATAAAGCCTGATTTCTCCAGCTAGCATTATTACGATATCTCAATTTCAAAATGAGATATCAATACATATTTCCTGCATCCATTGTACTAAGGAAAAAGAAATATAATGGATCTTAGTAGGATTATTGACCAGTAACCTATGATATGATCAGATGGGTGATATAAGAGGCGTTACTGCTTGGCAGTGGCGTCGCTAGGTCGGGTTTTACCCGGTGCGGCACTTCGTGGTGACACCCCCGAATTGTATACTTTATGTTTTTTTAAAGGAAACTTTGGATGTGTGTATGAAGCACTACTGACATCTAACCCAGAATCGCCTTGCGTAAAAGTTGCAGTTAAAACGATGAGATGTAAGTTCAAGATACGAGTTAAAACTTCAATTTGATTTTATATGTTCAAAATTTGTATCTAATATATTCGAAACATTTTAACGAACAGGTACTAAATCTGACTGCGAAAACCAGGAACTCTTTGTTCAAGAAGCTTTAAATACTTTAATGATGAAAGATTTTCAGCACCCACGAGTTCTCGGCCTTGTAGGGCTGGCACAAAATGGACCAGACAATCTTTACGTGGTTCTGCCGTATATGTCAAACGGGGCGCTCCTTACATTTATACGCGACCAGTCTGTTGTAAGATATATTTTACATAAAGTACAATGGTTTTTTTTACATAATACTAGAATCTGTTTAATTCAGAGAGGGGATATATTTTTCATTTCGAGATTTTAAATATTAAACAATAAGATACATTTTAAAAACAAAATTATTAAAACTTTCCTATGAATATTGCAGAACATAAAACTTAGTATAGCTTAAACTTTGCTAAGTTGACTTATAAAACTACCATAGATCTATTATATTATATCTGAAATCGTCTTTATACGGGTGTTAGATTATTTTCAAAACATATAATAGTAATCTTGTATTTAAATCTAGCGCGTAATCTGAACTACGGTCTAGCACTCAAAGTAATAACTTATTTTAACGTTTTGAGTAGACCTAACTACCATTGTCTCAGTATAGGCACACAACTTGATTCAGCGAATCAACTTTATTTTTTTTTTTCGCACTTTTCCAGACTCTGAAGTTCTCTGATGCCCTGAAGTACGGGGCAGATATCGCTAGCGGCATGGCGTACCTCAGTGTCAGGGACTTTGTTCATAGAGATCTGGCTGCCAGAAACTGTAAGTTTTGCTATTTGCGTTAGAAAAAGTGCAAAGAGTAGTTTCTCATACATAAAACAAGAGTGTGGCTAACTGAAAAGTTTGGAGAAATTGCTTTAATTTAACTACATCATGTATATGGTGGTATGTGACAACGTGTTTTGTATTGTATTGCTTTAGTCTAGATGACCGGCTACGTGTAAAGATTGGAGACTTTGGCCTGTGCCGATCAGTGTACGGCTCTAGCTACTACACCAGCACCAACAGAACAATGTTACCCATACGTTGGATGGCTCCAGAAAGTATTGAGGTTGGCTGCTACTCTACCAAGTCGGACGTTGTGAGTTTTAACATATTTTAAAAACTTGTTTTATGAAAAATTATTTAGATTTATAAAATATGTTTTAAAAGCAAATCATTTTAACTATTTAAATTTAATAATGTAACGATGTATTGTGGTATTATTGATATTATAAATGTGAAGATGCTTTCAAAATTATTTGTAGAATTTTTAAGTTGAGAAGGATGTTTACACACTATGAACAGCACTGTGTCTTAACATGAAGGGCAACCTGTTGGTAATTCCTTGTAGTGTAAATATATAGATGATGACGTGTTTGCGATGGAGAGCAAATGATTGTTAATTCAAAAAAATCCTGAAAATTATGGACCCCTGCTCGGGGTTCGTCAACCGGGGAAAGCAACCCTACTAGGAGAAAAAGTTCCAGAAACCAAATAACTTCTGCCTTCTAGATTGTTCTTTTCTCGGCATATCCACGTAGAATATCAATCTAAATTACCTTGACACGTAGCTATCTATTTTGTGAAAACATTTTCCTTAACTTGACTCAATAATTCAAGTAGTATTTTAAATAAATAATTAAGATTGATAAAACACCAATTCCTTCCAGTGGTCATTTGGTGTCGTGCTGTGGGAGTTGTTGACCCGTGGTCTGATTCCCTACCCTGGTCTACAGAACTCTGAAGTCCACGGCTATCTGCAGCAGAGTCGTCTGGCTAGGCCGTACTTCTGCCCAGTCAGGATGTAAGTCTAAGTGTTTGAGTTATCTGTTACTTTAATAACGTTGTCTAGATTGTATTTCAGTTATTCCTGTAAGATTTTAAATCTTTATTTAAAATTTATTCATTTGCTTCGTTAGGCTAGGACTCTCCTTTTCATACCTAATATGATTTTCAAAACTTTACCTCTCTATTTGTAAATATTTTAATTTTAAAAAATTATCCTTTTCCCATGGATTTCAGCATTAATCTTACTATTAACATATGCAAGATGTTTCAAAGATATATAGTAAATAGTAGACTTTTTAATACTTACATAATATACATATGCAATAAATTCGACGAACAAGATGTAAGCTTACATTACAAAAAGAGTTGACTTAAATATTCTTCTTCCAACAAAAGATACGGGGTCATGACGTCCTGCTGGCAAGTTGATACAGGTCTCAGGCCAAATTTTCAATCTCTCGAGGAGTTCTACGGTCTTTTTTGAGAATCATTTGTCAGGTCAAAGACGAAAGCGTGGATCAAACAGATAACAGGCAAGGAGAAACCCTAACCCAGACTGCAAATACGGACAGTAACGTGACTTACCCAAACTGCGGTAACATACAAACAGAAGGAAGCTCACACTTTAACAGTGACAACATCTGTACAGTTAAGAAACGTCTCGACGTGGTGATGACCATCCCCGATTGCAGATTTCTCTGTGGATCTGCTGATGAAGGCACAAACTCTCAAGCTTCGCCTTCAGCTTTAGACATGGATTACATACAAGCCATAGATGGTTACAATTATAATTCTAATGTACCTAATCAAGATGTGTCCACTACAGATACACCAGACAGGGTCTATTCAAATGTAATTGATAACTATGAAGAAATCTCCGTATTGTAGTTTATTCATATACATTATGTGTGTTGTCGGATTTAAAAATTAAAAGTATTATGGGGCCTAGTAAGATTATTTTAATGTTATGCCACGTTAACAGAAATTAATAGATTTAAAACAATTTGGTTTTCAGTTATCAGACTAAAATCAGATTTTAACTAGTTTTAGCGGAGTATAAAGTTTTAGATATTAGGATTATCAATTGTAATTTAAAAAAATAATTAAACTCACATCAAAAGTATGTTGTATAAAACATGTGTAAGCCAATCCAAAACGTACTGGACTAGAGCGGATTTATAATTTTGTCTGTATTTAACATGTTGTCCAGTCTAGGTATGTGATCGGTATACTTCAGTTAGGGTTTTTTAAATTTTTTTGGGTGGGAATATGTTGGTATTGCCACCTACATCTTTTGCCACTCTCATCATCTTGAGTCATTTGGGCCTAATTGTTAACTGTTCTCTTTGTTGCAAGTAGGCGATTATGCAGGTGGCTTTTGACGGTTGTCTCATCAAATTGAAAAAGATGGGTCTATGCCAGAAAGAAGAGTTCCATATTTTGCAATATTAATGGTTTTTATAGTTTGATTTTAAGACACTCACGTCATCTCCAGTCGCTTCGACACAAGTTTTAAACTTAAAGTATTGACTCTCGGATGTTCCGGTTTGTCGCATGCGAGCGATGATTCCGGTGGCGTTTGACTTCGTTCTATGATGTCTGCTTAGTGTGGGGAGCTACGTGATAGATAGTGGCGTAACAAATCAGTCTGGGGATAGTTGATGTTAAGAGACGGGCTATTTTCTCAAGAGATTTCGCACGTATTTTGGCGATATAAAATAAACAGGACACAAAACAGAACACATCAATTACAAAACAAATACAAAACGCAAATGAAGAATGAATATATTAAGATGATGTTGTTGACGTGTTATGGGAAATCTCAAGATGATTATCGCAAGGCGTTTATAGAAAAGAAACCTGGAGAATCAAACAACTATTCCGTTGAAAATGAAAGAGATTCTTTTAAAATGGTTTTAGTTGGCTCGTTTCTTATTAGCAAGATTTTAAATGAAGCAAATGATAGCTTATTTCATTTCCTTAAATAAAGAAAAGTAAAAACTGAAGATGAACTGAGAAAATCAATTGCTACATTTAGGGATTCACATCCAAACGAGAATGTATCAAAAAGCCATGCAGTGCTAGCACCGACTGTTGCACAGACAAACAAGCAGCTTTCTTTACTACCGGCGGTCAAACAACAAACATATAGCAGTCTACCAACTAGAGAGATTCAAACAAACTAAATCCATGACGTGCAACTATTGTGGTAAGATAGGCCGTGTCAAGTCTGAATGCTCGAAGCTGAGAAAATAACAATGCCGGTAAAAAACGCACAACACGCTTAACATGAAAACTACATTGTACACGGTATTGATAAAGGAAACAACATACTAAAAATGGACTTACTACATATTGACATAATAACAATCGATCTGCAATTCAATTTACAATTCAATCTATACTTTTGTTTGCACTGACAACAATTTTGTGTTCCAACATATGGGTTAGATCACTGTACTGTCTACATTTGCCTTTTCAATACCGGTAATTAAAAAAAAAAATTTTCAGAGAGTGATCATTGTTTCAACGTTTATTGTTTTTTATTGAAAAATAAATAAAATATTTTTTTTAATCTCTGAAGCATGGTTATTCCGTTTGGATAGTGGCCTAAACCCGCTCCACATTTTTTCTATTGTTTTAGCTGTTTCTCTTATTTGTAATATGTTATTATTAACGTGTGTCATAATGATTCGGAAAACATCTTGACTTTTATTAAAGCTCTTGAAGTTGTTCGAAAATATTATTTTTCTGTACATTTATTTAGATAACCCCATCCCACTATGTTAGCTTAGGGTTTCTAAAAATGTTTACCTAATATTATTTTCACATGTATAAAATTCCTTAAAAAGACTTGATATTTCATCGTTCTGCTTGTGGAGCAATCTATAAAACCTTAGGGGTAGATAAGAAGAAGAATCTGTCTATAATCATCCATCAATATAGACATGGAATATAGTCTTACAGTACGATCCCGAATGGTTTTTATGTTTTTAAAATAATGAAGAAAAATTATTGAGTCTTATATTACATGATCTTCGGTTCCGTGTACTTTGTCCACCTTGGTTATATGGTTGTTACGCCACTGGTGGTAGCTCATATTGTGTAATGATATAAATTTTGTTTTTGTTTCTCGACCTTGTGGTTTATCAGGCTTTTGGGCGATTTTATTGCTGTCAGCCTTATTGTCAGTCGTCCTTTTGTCCAGTTGGTCTTTTGCGGTTTCGCCCTCTGATAATGTACGCCTTTTTTGTCCACCTTTTGGATGGCTGCCTTTGTATAAGAACACTGTTGTTTGCTATTAAATAATCAAGGTTATAATTAAAAATCAGTAAAAGTAATTATTCTTTTAACATTATTAATCATCTTATGTTTCATTCTAAACCATTTATGTTTCTTTTTGTAAAATTACAATAAAATGAAGTATAAATTCATGCCTTAAGACTTATATTTTAAGACTGGCTAACTTATATAAGTGAGCATGTCAACATATTGAATATTTTGTGGACAGTGAGGGGAAATCTGAGACTATTGTTACCTACGAAGTTATTGTTTACTAATAATTTTAGAGTAGGCCAATATAGTACAGTAATTAAAAAAAATTAGTTACTGCAACAATTTTCATCATTGACTTAAAATTATAAAACTTTTGTACGTTAACATTAGATAAGCCTATTTCGTCAGGCAGATGTGAGATAAAGTTCTTAACGTCGTAGTAAAGGCTCTTAGCAACATGTCCAAAAAGTGTTAATGACAACACATTTGTATATTATTATTCAAAACAGATATATATATATATATATATATATATATATATATATATATATATATATATATATATATATATATATATATATATATATTAAAACATTTACCCATTGTGGCAACCACGGACTGGTATTTCTTTCGTTAACTCTAATGAGACTAGACTAGAACTTTAGTGTTTACATTTTACTTCCCTTTTTGTGTAATTGGCTGTGTATGTCGGTAATTATTTGATTTAACTCTTCTAGGAGAAATGTTTTTTTTTTTTAGAGAAAACTGGTAACAGGAGAAAACATAAATATAGCATGTTTATAATAGCAAGCACAAGCATTTACATTTGCACTAAATGATTTTTTTTTAAATTTGAAAATTATTCAAATTAAAAAAAAAAGTTAATGAAAAAAATGTAATTGATTAAACGTGAATCATAAAGTTGAGCACTTGGTTTAATTGTTTTTAAGTGCGTGATATTTTACTTCCTGGAGCTTACTGGAATAATTGTAATTTTATTTATTAATTTTGTATGTACACACATACATATCTATGGTAATAAATATATCAACATGTACACGTAGGCCTACATGTGCACACACAAAGAAAAGCCTACACATTCATACATACACATTTACATAATCACTTTCATACGCATGCATATATACATTTACACACAAGTTTATGTTGTACATCTTTCAGAAAATTCTAGCGGTTTTTTTTAATATTAAAACAAACTTTTTTTTTTCATTTCGTCTATTGAAATTTAGATCTTTAAAAAATGTTCATTTGTGTCTGGCGGCCCCATTGTCTTGGGCTCAAAACGGAAAAGATTAATGTTAGAGGCTTGACATCCGTGTAGATCTGCAGTGTACGCGTGGAGCGGAAATCTCATCTCGTTTCGAGCCTCACGTTTGAATGCAGTTCTCTCCTTAAAAAATATTATAATATTTAATCCTGTAAGTGCAGCATTAATTCGTTCTTGTAAAATGGCTCTGTTTTTCACCCATGCCGACTGAATATTGTTTTAAATTTTCATGGCTATTTGTGATTTCCACTCGTCTACACACACAAAATAACACGTTTTTCAAGCATAATTTACAGTATGGAAATTGTTATCGTGAAAATACGTTTTGTAATGCAGGCTTTTAAAAATAGTTTTCGCTAACCGGGATAAAGCATTCTAGTTACTTCTTCACAAATCTAGTTACTCGTGTTTTAATGTGGAGCACTGGTTTTTGTTTCCAAATATTTATATACTAAGTTTCTGAAAGTGTCGACGTTTCGTGCAAAAACTATGGATATATTTCTGTACTTCGTTCTTGTGTGTGAGTTGGTTTTGTTATGTGGTGGTCAAGAAGAAAAGGACACGACATTAAATCTGGGTGCCGCCATAACAAAACTAGCCGTGAGTGATGAGTACGTCTACGTAGGGGGAGTGAACTTTGTAGCCCAGCTGACCAAATCGTTGGATGTGGTTCTATTTAATCTGACCATTGGACCGGTTTTAAAAGACGAAGATTGCCGGCCACAAACCGGACCGTGTGACAACCAGGTGATGGTGATGGAGATAGACGCCAACCTGGGTAGGCTGGTTGTCTGTGGTACAGCCTACAGAGGGACGTGTACACTGCACAGTCTGTCTGACATTACAGACTGGCGGTGTCTGTATGGAGACAATGGGGCAGACATTTTAGCAGGGGACGTCATGCAGAAGACATTTTTACAAATATCACCCAAGTCTCCAGTGAATGATTCGTTAATTTCTCTAAACTACAAAAACTTCACGTATAATAAATACAACAATGTGGAACAAACATTTTCCAAAGTAAAAAAATCTACACCATTTAATCCCACAAATAGCTTATCGTCTAGCATATTATATTTTAGTAACTTGGACAAAAACACAGGGTCAATAACAACATCGATTCGACAAGTTGACTTTATTAATCAACAATACGTCATAAATTTGGTAAACCAAACAGTGGTGACGTTTACCCAGGAGAAGACAACCGTTTACATGTCATCGTTTTTCTGGGAGGATAACTCTTACATCATATCTACACAAATTCAACATGGATATAATGTGACAGTGCTGAGTCGTGTGGACAAAAATAGGAACGTGTCGAATA